GTGACCGCCACCCTGTTTCTGTAAAATCGATAAATCGCCAGGGGCTCCCAGGCGGCGGTGCTCACCCCCCAGTATTTTTTTATTTATTTATTTTTTCCGATTTTTTTTTTTTTTTTTTTTTTTTTTGGAAAGCCGGGGCTGGGTTTGCCGACCCCCGACCCCGGGAACCTTCGCCGGGGCCCCGGGTCCGGGGGTCGACAACCCTGGTGGGCGCCCCTGGAACCCCCGGCGGGATGATCATCGTGAACATGCGTTTGAAGCTTTCAAGCTTCGTGCAGTTGAACGGCATCCCGCTCTCGACAATGAACCGCATGATTTGCAGATGCCACGCGCTCTCCAAAGGGTCTGAAAAATATGAAGTGACGGCATGCTGCCTGTAAGTGCCTCGGCCTCGTCCCGTTCTGGCTTTCCCGCCGAGGACCCGGGCATCCAACAACCCACCAGTACTCGCAGGTGCCGTGCTCTGGGCGGCTGCAAGGTCGCGAATGCGTTGCAAAGGATCTAATGATCCGGTCAACACGGGTGGAGCAGACCCACCAGCACCTGTCATTGTCGGAATCAGGGTCGGCGATGAATCGGACATTGGAGGGGGAACCTCCTCGACAGGCACCCCATGCTCCGCCTGTTCCCCAAAACGAGGCACGGAGGCAGATTGTCGAGCATCTGCAGGTGGGTGTGAGGGATCCGGGAGGGCGGTTGCGTGAACATGGTCGACCACCACTTGCGACTCTCAATAAAAGCATGTGTGCTCTCCTCGTCAAATGTCGCAGAGCCTACACCATCCCTCACAGGCGGGGGCTCGTTGGCTGGCGCGAAACGACCAACCTCCACATCGCGAGCGCTTGGTGTCCCAGCCAGATGTGCAGACGGCAGGGCTGTCGAACATGTTGTTGCGGGACACGTGACCCGAACAGTTGGAGCCGGAGAATTGGGCGGAGCCACTGGTCCTGAAGGGGCCGTGGTAGGAACCGACGGCGACACTGGGTCCTCGGGGTATCCCAGCGGTGGCCACTGCAAGCTCGGATGGCCTTGCGCTAAGCTCTGCAACGTTTCTATGGCTGACGCGAACTCCTTCGGACATTTTGTCATGTCCTTCAACCAGATCGCATACCACAAAGCAGGAGTGGCTGCCTCACATCAGAACTTCTCGCTCTTCGAGAAGTGCTCCTTGGCGGCTTTAGCGCCCCCACAAATTGAACGCTCGCACAACCTGCACAAGCATCGACGACCGCTCTTCCTATCCGCCACCGTCGACCTATCCAAATAACGCCCTCTGGCTAAGAAATGCCACACCGGGTCGTCCCTCTTGCCGTCGACTTTCGGGTCGACCTTGAACGGCGAGTCGAACGTCTTCGTGTTATGACCTTGTCTGGCACTTGTGAACGAGTCTGCCGGATCCTTCTCCCGGTTCTGCGACATGATGAAAGCCGTTAGCCGCGAGAAAAAGACGATGTCGGAACCCGTAGAGAATGTTTCCAACTCGCGACAAAGATCGAAGTCGGCGACATAGCGACAAAGAAATGCTATGAAACAGGAAAAAAACAATAAATGCAAAAGTGTTGAACACCTGGACATCAAAGGGAAAATACAAAACGACATGAAACGCAGAAACAAACAACCCGGAAAAAAAAATAAAAAGATAAGTATGTAGGTCATTGCAGACTTTGATATTGCCCGTACAGACTCTAGACTTGAGACTGGATGGACTGGCACCGTCCCAGACATACCCTACCGGTACCGGGTCTCTAAGAAATGCCAACTTTGTCTTCTTCTCCATGGCCTCGAGCACCCCTCACATCTACCACTACCGGGTGCGGTACCGGCCCACCTGGCCGAAGCACCGTGGCCACCCAAATCTACAACCCGAGTGTTTTCCCCCACTGCAACCCTCAATGCCACGGGCACATACACTTCATGATGAAAAAAAAAAAAAAAAAAACGCACAACCCACGGCACACACACAAAGACTTACAAAACCAAGCTAAATGTCGGAATCTCCAAAAGGCAACCAATCCACGGGCAGAACTTCTGAAATCAGCAGTGCTCTCAGTCCGTTTTCTGACGGGTTGTCGCGAAAAAAAAAAAAAAAAAAAAACATGTCGCACACAGACATACTTAAAAAACCCGTCAGAATGCGGAAATCTTGGCAGGTCATCCATGTCACAGGCAGAACTTCAAAATTCGGCAGTCTTGCGAGTTTGTTTTTTGACGGGTCAAAGCAAAAAAAAAAAAAAAAAAAAAATCAGGCACGTCCACAACAACCCTCCGGACGTCGAGGCTGGGTTCCAGACAGTCCGGTGTCCGGTGCTTGGTGTCCGGTGTCTGAACATTATGTCTGGATCGAGGCCTCTGGGGCAAAAAAAATAATAAAAAAATTAGGGCAGCCCAGGACGTTCATCGGGTCTTGGCCGCCCCTAGAAAAATAACGGGTCGATCTTCCAATGTCGTTTCACCCCACCAGACAGGGTCTAGAGGTCCAGACAAAAGACACAACAAGTTTTTGGGGTGGCGGGTTTCGCACAGGCCCGAACAATTTCA